CGGTGCGCCCGGGGTGGTGGCGGCGGTTGGGGCTCAGTCAGGGCGCCCGGAGGGCGCGAGTCGGGCCGCAGAGGGCCCGCGGGACACCTCTTGGTGGTGTCGGAGGGTCCTCAGGCCTGTCTGCTTACCCCGGTCAGAAAGTTATGTCAGAAGGGGTGGGCAGAGCTGGCGGCGGCCCTGCTGCATCAGGGGATGCCCTGCGGCTCCCTGCCGGCGGGCAGGGCCTTCCAGTTACCAGAGCTGGCCGTAGCAGCTTTGCCTTGACAGGGCAGCGATACCTCGTCTTTCAGGAAACAGACGAGATATGCCCGTTTTGTAGGAGCTGAAGCTAGACGTGGGTACGGTGAGATTGGCAAAGCTAGTGTGCCAGTTTATGCCACAGGGTCTTTTGCTCCCTCCCAGTAGTGTTGGACCTTCTGGCACAGGTTCTGCCTCTTGGCATGCAGCGGGTCGAGCTGGTGGCCTAAGCCATGGAGCTCGTGTGACTCTTAGTCTGCTGTCAGGTGCAGGGCCAAGAGCCTGCAGTGATCCAGCAGCCTCTCCATGTCCCCACTGGAAAAAAAAATGCAGTCTCTTAAGCATTGGGATTTCATTCTGAGTTTGTATTTTCCACTCTCCCTGTAGTTAATGCTTCCAGCCCTGGAAAGGTGTATGCTTTTTTTCACCTATGTCTCAAGCCCACCTTTTTTTGGTTATCTTTGGTCCAAATATGTTTTGAAAAGTGTCATTAATGCTTTCTGTCCGTGCAGAAAAACTGTTACCTAATTAGCGTTAATCTGGTGGTATGTAATAGTGGATTCGGAAGGGAAGCTCTTTGCCGCTCACGTGGGCTGTGCATGCAGATACATTATGTAGATGTTATGGACTTAGTTGCTGAGGATGGAGTTCCTGCTTAGTTTTAAGGAGATTGACTTTCCTCAGTAGTACACTTTAAACCGAGATGACCATATGAAACGTGGATACAAGCTGTGAAAACCACCTGTTTTGTGTTTATCTGCAAAGTGCAATGGTAGTGTGTTTATACATTGTTGCAGTTCCAAGTTACCTCTTCATATTTAGTCATACTTCTTGTATTCTGTCAGTGCTCACTGATCAAACATAAATGGACGGATTTCCTGTTTACAGTGTTAAAAGTGCACATGTCAAAAGCCATGTAAGGAGCAATGCTTGAAAGTACTGTGTTCTGTACGAACCCAGTATGGTGTTAGCTAGGTGTTTATGGATAGTTTAGCACAATTTTTAAGTCTAGGTTGACACTTCTAGGATGGTGTGGAAAAGATACTTTTTCATTATCAGGATGTAGGCCATAGGAATTAGTGCCTTAGAGGCACATATCCAGTATCTGGCAAGAAGAGGGCTCTGAATTGTGGGAATGAGGATTTGCAGAAGCGATCTGATTCAGGCACATGGTGGTAGTGTGTGGTATGATGGGAAAGTCTGTTAAGTGCTGGTTTAGTTCTCTGCTAGAGAGGTATCTCTAAACTGCCTTTTGAAGTGATGGTAGCTGCAGGTGTTTCTTTTCGCACACAACAGCCAACTTGTTCACAGGATGCACTATTTCTCTTTCTACTGTAGCCTTGAATGTTACAAGAACTATTTTATAAACAAAATATGTAGATAGGTAAAATAGTTAGGGATTTGATATATTATCAATTAACACATTTTTTTGCATTATTTCTTTATGAAATGCTTGGGTACATTATTGTATTTTACGGGGATGCCAAAGAGAAAAATGAACTGAACTTCTTAGTTTAATTTATGTTTCAGGCTTCTGAATTTGGCACAAAAAGGAGAACATCAACTGAAAGCAGTGAACCCTGTGAAAAGAAGACCAAGGCACGACAAGTTACTCTAGAAGACATCTGTAACCCACTGAAGACTCAGGATAAAAGTGAGTTTACTGTAAACGAGCCTTCAAGTATTTATACCCAATAAATAGTTTTTCATTGTACAATGTAAAGAAATTTGTCAGCGGATACTTTAGTAACAGTCTCTTGAGTGTAAGATACATCTCTGAAGAGCCATTTTGAGCATACTAGCTGTACTGTTAAGGCACCTTTCTGTATCTCAGAAATCACGTATTTGAGTCTTGCTTCAGAATTACTCTGCAAATGCCCTTCAGTAGGCTCAGCTTTAACAGGTCGTTCAATCAGTGAAGTCCAGATGCCCGGACAGAAATGCTGCAACTTCCCTTTCTGTGTTGGTTTAAGTCTGTCTTTTAGATGCAGGCTGAGATGTGACTTGACTTCTCACAGTGCTGTGAAATCTGGCCTGTGACTGGGATACCCAAAGGCTATCTCAAAGTAAATAGTTCTGATGCAGTGATCTTGACTGTGTAATGACAGCCACTTAATTACGTTGAAAATGCCTGTGCTCCATCTGGCTTTGAACTGAAAATTTAACAAATTACTGATGCTAGTAGAAAAACACATCAGTGAATATAAAGTTTGTTACACTTACACTTCATTGAAAGGAATTAGACTCTATAATTTTTTTTAGAGAGGGAATTATATTCAGTTTTGTGGGTGTGACAATTTGAAGTATCATTTAGACACCGTCATTTAGCAATACTGTCTGCTTCAAAACCATACTGAAAAAATCCTACTCATCTTCCAATATTCTTGGCTAATTTTGTGTCTTTGCGTTAGCAGTCCAGAAAATAATTGTGCTTATTTTCCAATGTATGAAGAAGCATATCAGTGAGGAGTACTGATTTTCCAGGGAAGTTAACCAGGCTGATTACATGCACGATTCTGTCAGGCTGGCAGAAACACTGCAGTGGGAAAGAGGAAGGAATGTAGGGGAGAGAGAGACAGAGCAAAATGTTTGTGTTCTCTGCTTACTGATGTTATTCTAGTAGACATTCTGTTGTAGAAAGTGTTGCTAATATGTTTTTGTTGTGTGTTTTTACTAAAGAAGAACCTCAGAAGTGTGAAAAGCCTCGCATATGTTTGCAAACTCTAGACAGACTGAGGGAATTCTGCAGTGATTCAGACCAGCAGTGTAGCAGAGTCCGGGAGGCTAGTTTTCAGAAGAAAGAACCTCTGACTTTGGAAAAATGTTCTGGTATTACTGGGACAAGTTCAGAATTGAAAAACCCTCTTCAGTCTCGGGACATTAGCCCAAAGGCTGCTCAGAAGGTAAGTAGAGATTTGGTCCAGTGCTGCATAGATTACTTTTTATGGTTTCAAAAGGCAATCTTTTGCACAAAAGTCCTTTTGTATTGTGTGTTCTATCATGAAACAGTGCAGCAGTACCCAGTAGACCAGTGTTTATGTACGGATGCTTTCCTGGAACTCTTAGCAGAATGCCTCTCATAGCTCTTCGGTGATACTGAAAAAAAGCAGTAATGAGAGAGCAGAAACACTGGCAGTGTACCTTATTGTGAAAAACCTATAATAGCATAGTAACAAATGTTCAGTGTGGCCCTTTTCTCAGCTTTCTTTCAGTTCTATCAGATTTGATACAGACTGTGAAATACCTAACAGGCTTTCTTTGCAAAAACGTGATTTACTCTTGTTACTAAGACGTAGCTTAATTCATTTGCTAATAAAACTTAACTACTAAATATATCACTGTTTTTTTCATCTGCAGAAGGTGTGGATAGCTCCCATGAAAAATTATCATTAATATACCTATGACACAAATTGATAAGAGTGTAATAGTATTTTGTGTCTTCTTTAATTATGTGGCTAATTAACATTAGTTAGTGGGTTGGGTTTTGGGGTCAGATTGCTCAGTTTGAAGTATTCAGGTCCTAAAAGGCATCTCATGGCTTACTGTGGTGGTGTTGCATTGGGACGATCGTGGTTTAAACCCAGACAGCAGCCAAACACCACCAAACACCGCTCGCTTCCCCTCCCCTTCCTGGAGGATGGGCAGAGAAAATTAGAGGGAAAAGGGAGATATGTAGGTTGATTATAAAAACAGTTTAATAACTGAAATAAAATAAAACAACAACAATAATAGAAAGTACAGTTGGGTAATGCACAATGTGATGGCTCACCACCCACTGACTGATACGCAGCCTGTTCCTGATTAACATTCGTGAAGAAAACCAAGATCCTGAAACCACAATCCTGGAAGCAAGAGAGAATCCCCTCCTTCCTGGCCAACTCTCCTCTATATACTGACCATGATGGAATATGATAGGGAATATTCCATTGCCCAGTTTGGGTCTGGTGCTCTGGCTGTGCTCCCTCCCAGGTTCTTGTATACCCGTGCATGAACAGGACAAGCAAGAGTTGGAGAGTCCTTGATCTCTTGAAAGCAGTCATACACTTCAGTGTATTATCAACATTCTTTTCATACCAAATCCCACACTGAACCCAAAACACAGCACTATTCTAGCTACTAAGAAGAAAAGTGATCTCTATCCCAGTCAAAACCAGGACAGGGACTCAACTGCTGTTTAGCAAAGCTTTACATGTGGCTTTTTGAAGGAAGGAGGTTTTTTGAAAGGTTGTATAGTTGATTTGACCTTCCCTGTTTGAAGACCATGACCTTAAACTTGAGTGTCTGGGTTGTGTGAACAGAAGATCAAAATACAAATAGTGAAGTGAACAGTTTGTGACGAGAGTTTTCTGTTGTGATGAGGGATTGAGATTATATAGGTGTGGTCAGTTGGAGAACACAGAAAACTGATTCCTTCTCTGTCCTTTGTTTTCAAACCCTTGTCTGTCTGTAACTTCTTAATTTCTGAACCTTTCTGTGAAGTATGCATGAGGAGTATTTAGTGACCTCTCTTCTGTAACACTGGAAAAAGCACATGCCTGGCACAAGTTGTCAGTTAAAAACGTGTGTTATGCTAACCACAGTAGAAGTCCGTGCTTTTTGAGCAAAGACACATTCAACTCTCTTTCCATCAAGCTCTGGGCCTAAGATGGTTGTTTCTGCAGAATTCAGG